CGCTGAACACAGTGAGCTGCAGCCTACTCTCACCAGTTTTTGGGAAGATGATCCCGTGATCTACCGTCCCCTTGATGTAGCGCAGTAGCCGCTTCACCGTAGCCCAGTGATCCTCTCTGGGATCCTCCATAAAGCGACTAAGATAGCACACGGCGAACGCAATGTCCGGCCTCGTGTGGACTAGGTAGCGCAGACCACCGACGATGCTCCGGTAGAGTGTTGCATCCACCTTCACCGCGGTACTAGCCTTTGTTAGCTTCAGCCGCTCCTCCATCGGAGTCACGCATGGCTTGCACTCAGCCATGCCGCTCCTCTCCAACAGCTTAGAGGCATACATGCTCTGACCAAGCGTGAGTTCCTCCTTCCCCTGTCTCACCTCGATGCCGAGGTAGTAGGAGAGTGCGCCGAGATCGCTCATTCGAAAACGAGCCACTATCTCATGCTTGAAGCTGTTGATGTCCTCCGTGCGCGCGTCGGTGACGATTAAGTCATCCACATACATGCCAACGATGAGCTCCTCCTTCCCCCGTCGCCGCGTGTAGAGCGCGTGCTCAGTTGCGCACCATTGAAACCCAAGCTCGCCCAGCGTGGCATCAAGCTTGGCGTTCCATGCTCAAGGGGCTTGTCATAGCCCGTAGAGCGCCTTGCGTAGTCGGAGCACCCTGTGCTCCTCTCCCTTGACGGCGAAACCTAGAGGTTGCCTGACGAAGACCGTCTCCATCAGCTCGCCGTTGAGGAAGGCCGATTTAACGTCCAAGTGATGGACGCGCCAGTCCTTTGCTGCTGCCAAAGCAAGTTGCAAGCGGACCAACTCCATGCGCGCTACTGGCGCAAAGACCTCCTCGAAGTCTATGCCCTCGCGCTAAACAAAGCCTCGGGCGATGAGGCGCGCCTTGTGCTTGACAATGGCGCCGAGCTCGTCCCGCTTGACTTTGTACACCCACTTCAGGCTGATCGGACGGCATCCTGGAGGTGGATCGACGAGCTACCAAGTCTCGTTTTTCTCGATTGCCTTAATCTCCTCCAGCATCGCCCGTCGCCAGTTTCCATCATGCTCGGCGAGCACGGACGTGGGTGGTTCCTCAGCACTGACGAGTAGTAGCTCTGCGTCGTTGAGCAGCCTTCCCGCCATACCTGAGGGACCTGTGCCGTCGACGATGTCGTCCAGCCTGTCGAACCGCACCTCCTCACCTTCGTGGAAGGCATCCACGAACTCAGTGATGTCACCTAGAGGTGAGGCAAACTCGATTGGCGTCGATGGAGTTCCCTGTTCTGCCAGAGTGCTTGGCATAGCACCTTGAGTTCTCGGCACTACTTCTGGACAGCTCGTCATAACTCCTGCAGTGTTCGGCCACACTGTAGGAGTGTCCTGCCTCAGTCTTGGAGTGGTCGACACTACTGTAAGACGTCTTGGCTCCGCTATGGGAGTGCTCGGCACCCGTCCTGGAGTGGTCGCCACCACTGCAGAATCTCCCAGCACCACTCCTGGTATGCTTGGCATCCCTCTAGAAGTGCTCGGCACTCCTCCCGGAGTGGTCGACATCCCTCCCAAAGTTCTCGGCACTGCCCCAGGAGTGCTCGGTTCTACCGCCGGAGTGCTCGGCACTCCTCCTGGAGTGCTCGGCACCTCTTCCCTAGCGTCTCCACCACCGTGGATGACCAAGTGCTCGACGACGAAGTTGTTGGTGAAGCTACCGGCTTCCCCGTGCTCGGACTGCTCCAGTCCCAAGCCGCCTCCTCATCGAACACGACATCGCTTGAGACAAGCACCTTGTCTCCACGTGGGTCGTAGAGCCGATACACCTTGGTACCCTTCGCGTAGCCCAGGAACACCATGGGTGTGCTCCTGTCCTCCAGCTTGGTGAGAATCGGCTTTGTCTTCCTGACGTGGCCGATGCAGTCGAATGTCCGGAGGAAGGACACGCTCGGCTTGTGCCCATACCAAGCTTCGAACAGTGTCTTGCCCGTCAGGGCCTTGGTTGGAGATCAGTTGAGGATGAACACCGCCATGGTCACCGCCTCACTCCAGAACCTTGCCGGCATGCCTTTGGCCTTCATCATGGATCGGGCCATGCCGACCACCGTCTAGTTCCGTCGCTCCACCATGCCATTCTGTTGTGGCGAGTATGGTGCGGTGTGGTGTTGCCCCACACCCTGATCCACGCAGTACGCAGCGAACTCCACCGAAGTGAATTCGCCGCCGCAATCAGTCCTCAGCACATGGAGCTCCTTGCTGCTCTCGGCCTCCGTGCGCGTCTTGAACTTCTTGATCGTCGCCGCCACTTCGTCCTTGCTTGTCAGGAGTTGCAGCCACATGTAGCGACTATAATCATCCATAAGTAGGAGGAAGTACCGCCGACCATTGTTTGTAGCAGGCGTGATCGGTCCGCAGAGGTCGTCGTGAACGAGCTCGAGAGCTTCTTTTGCGCGATACTTGGCTGCCTTTGGGAAAGGTAGCCTCCTCTGCTTCCCAGCAGACAGCTGTCGCACAGCTCGCCTCCGTGCTTGATGTGGGGTAGCCCTCAGACCATCTTCTCAAGCTGACCAAGCGCGTCGAAGCTGAGATGTCCGAATCGGGCATGCCACATCCACGGTTCCTCGGTGTGCCTTGCCGCCAGGCACATTGGCTGCTCTACCTTTAGGTCAAGCAGGTACAACCGGTTCAGGGACCTCTTCACCTTGGCGAGAAGTCACTGCTCCCGGTCTTTGATCCTAAGGACTCCATCCTTGATCAGTACCTCGCTACCATGGTCATCTAGCTGACCAAGGCTGATGATGTTGGAACTCAGCTGCGGGATGTAATATACATCTGTTAGCACGCGGTGCTCCCCGTTCTAGCATCTGAAGATAATGGTGCCGCGCCCTTAGATAGCCACCCTTGAGCCGTCACTGAACTTCTCCGTACCGGTAACAACGTCGTCGAGCTCGGAGAAGGATGCCTTGGAGCCCGTCATGTGGTTACTGGCACCGGAGTCCAGATACCACCGCTGCTCCTGGTCGGCGCCCACACGCCCGAGGTGAACTTTTGCACGTGGTTCATTGAGGTTGACGGTCTTCAGGGCCTTCCCAGGTCCTTCCACCGTTGTCATCTCCTCCCTCTCCTCGGCCTCGACGTCGTGTAGTGCATAAAACATCGCCATCAGGATAGTGGCCTCATCCTCATCATCGGCTTGCGCCAAATGAGCCTGAGCCTTGTTTTCCTACTTGCGGTTTGGCCACTCCCGTGCCCAATGGCCCATCTTCTCGCAACGCCAACAGGCGTTGGGGTCGACCTGCTTCTTCTCCGAAGAAGCCTTACCGCGGCGCTTGCCATCGCCACCGTGGCTGGAGGAGGCTGCCTTCCCAGAGTTCCTCCGAGCAGCCCACTCCCCTTCCGTCAGTAGGAGTTTCCCGCTGTCCTTCATTGCTGTTGCCTGCTCTAGGCGCTCAATGGTGAGGGTGGACAAGTCCAGCATCGTCTCTATGGAGAGAGCGATCTGGATGTACTTTGTCGGCACGGAGTGGAGGTACTTGGAGACCGCCTCCTCTTCGTCGATGGTGACGCCATGGCTCTTCAGCTTGCTGATGAGCGTCTGCAGGCGGAGGGAGAAGTCCTCCACCATTTCACCATCCTTGAACTTGAGGTTGGTGTACTCCTGCTTCAGAAGCTAGGTCGTCGCCTTCTTTGCGTGGTCGGAACCGACGTGCATCGCCAAAATAGCCTCCCACGCATCCTTAGCCGAGCTCTTGGTCCCCAACGGCTCCCTGTACTCCGCCGGTACAGCAGCGAGGATAGCCTCCAACGCTGACATGTCATCTTCTTCATTGTCGGTGCCCTTGTCAATAGCATTCCAGAGCCGTCGGGCTCTGAGCTTGACCTTCATGGTCACCGACCACTCTCCATAGTTGGTGCGAGTCAGCGTCGGCCAACTGGTGCCGCTGACATCCCACACCGTGTGAACAACGACCTCCGGTCGTGGCTGGGTAGCCACAGCAGTGCCACTACTGTCGTCCATCTCCAAACCGCCCATCATCGCCAAGCGGTTAGTCTAGTGACGGCGTTTGTACGGCTCTGATACCACTTGTTGGCCCACAGGATCATCGGCTCAGGTGAGTGAACCACTCACCAGTCTTGCAGAGCACCCGCAAGTGTTGCCGAGCACCCACTAGCCGTGCCGACCACGAACGAGCATTGTCCGTCCCCGCACACTATGGCTCGAGCTAGAAGAAGAAGGGAGAACAGAGCATGCACACACAATATAAGACACCATCGTTGGTCGAAGCCATGTCTGTGAGATGGCAAATCTGAGCTCTCTTTACTGAGTTGTCGTGGTAGTGTATTTATACAACTCTATCCATCTAGTCCCAGTACAGCTGCCCATGCTGTAACAGTAACTAGATAACATATAGGGCCGACTCTACGCCAGCCACTGCATGTGCGTACAGTGCTGCAGGTGAGCAGATCGGCGCCTGCACCTGTAGCGGCTACAGTATCACAACAGGGGGCCTTTTTGGCGCCGCCTTCCCCTTGCTGTGTTCACACAAGGTAGTAGTAGATTAGCTAACAATTTCCTCCTAGCCATCTCTTACTGGGCCCGGGGTCAAACAGATTCCCTCCCGGTCATCCGATGAATCCCGATCCGGTAGAGCGGAACTCCTGCAATCCCGCATCCCGAGCCTCAGGTTGTTTCTCCTTGATTAGCTCCTTTTCCAAGCTCCACTTTGATCTACCTTTGAGTATCTGCAGCGGCGGCGGCGGTGACGTCCCCGCCTGCAGCCACACCATATATGGGCAGAGGGAAGTTCGGGACAATTTCCACCGTAACCTAAAGGAAGATGAGTTTAAGCGAGTTCTTGCCAAGATCGAGATGATCTACCGCGAGGTGGAGCTTGATAGCGATGAACTGGTGAGCGGCTACTGATGTTGCTTGGGCCTTCTGAATCCCAAAGCAAACATCCTCATCAATGGCTCTATTTTATGCATTAATGCTCTATCGTCGCCGGCCGGTAAGGGAGGAGACATGGCCCAGCGGTCACTACATGGCCTCATCACCTTCCTAACTTGCCTCTTCCCCTACCTCCCGGTCGCGGAGGCCCTGGCATACCTTGACGCTGTCGACGCCGACCCCCTTGCTGCTGCTGCCCTCATCATCGCCAGACATGGGCGGAACTACTACTGGATGGACCCTACCATTGCCGCCGCCACCATGGCGATGGCCCTCAAATGCGGAGCAGTTGCCGCCCAGCATCCAGACCCATCCCTACTAGTGAAAGGATGGATGAGTCTTTCACATCACCTGCATCAGATCGCCCGTCCTCTGTCAGTCCCCTTTTCGGACTTCATTACTGGGAGTTTCGTACTCCGCAACCTTCAAAATGAATCTTGCAATCTTGAGGTCCAAGCTATGTGGGAACTTGCAGATAACAGGCTTCGTGCAAAGCTTAAGCTTTCTGGTGGTGGCTTACTCTTACCCACAGGGCTTCCTCCTATCCGCACATCCATGATGCGTATGCTCCTTGCAAAAATCCATGGATTCTACCTGAAGGCACTGTGCAGTCTCCCCAAGGATGAGCTGACTGGGAGGTATCACCGTGCCTTGGTCATGGGTGGCTACTGCTATGGCCCGCTGCAGCCTGCTGCCAACATCCACTACTGGATTCAGCTTCTTTGCCGAGTGCCTCAAGCACTCGGCAAAGGCCGATATACACTCGGCAAAGCCTTTGCCGAGTGTTACACTCGGCAAAGGGCGCTCGGTAAACAGTTTATCGGCAAAGATCTCTTTGTCGAGTGCACTTTATCGGGCACTCAGCAAAGCCTTTGCCGAGTGCTAATCTGACACTCGGCAAAGAAAAGTCGCCGTAACGGCAGCTTTGCCGAGTGTCAAGGTCAAGCACTCGGCAAAGGTCGCCGCTTTGCCGAGCGCCGTTGGCTCAGACACTCGACAAAAAAGTGGTTTGCCGAGTGTTTTTCCAAAATACACTCGACAAAGGATTATTGTTTGCCGAGTGTTTTTGGGAATTACACTCGGCAAACCTATTTTGCAAAGAAAAAAAAATTCTCAGCATATCCAGCGGCTTTGCTTTTTCTTTGCACCATGAGAACGTGAACACTGGACAGGTTCCAGGGAAGTTGCATTCTCTGTCTACTAGCCCATTCAGGTCCACTGATCCGGACGTTGTGCTGCCTCGCTCTGGTCGACCTGCGCAGCAGTGGCCTGCACGGAAGTACGTAACGAAAGCTGCATGAGCATCGTAGTATCGCAGGCCACCATTCCAGCAAGTTCAGTAGTCTGAAGATTGGTATGCAAATAAGCATATCCAAAAAGGGAAAGCAGAAAGGGAGAGTAACCAGAAGCAGCATCAAGGTGCAGCAACATCAAATACTGTACATGGTGCGAAATAACAATAGACATATGATGTCGTACCCTACATACAAGTAATTATATCTTAAGAGTGTCGAGAAGGCATAAAACGACCAACTATGGCAAGATTTTGTGGTCTATCAAGATAACCAGCTACGAGGCATCCTAGTAGACATCTGCAATCAGTAACCGAAGAATAGACAACAGCCTACGTACCTCCATGCTTTGTTAGACAGATCTTCAGGACCCAAGTTCAAACCGGACATGAGTGTTTCAATTCCTCCTCCATTCTCCTGAAGATGAAAGTGTGAACACATGAGCTGGGAACCTGGCACCTCACACACATTGAAATCAAATGCTCTTGCAACACGCTAGCACAACTCACCTCCACCGTTGTCAAAGTTTTTCCTTTCTCAGAGCATAACTTTGATTGATGTGGCTGCTTATCCTTGTTGGTGTTATCATCAGAAACATCATTCTCTTTATCATCCAAATCCGAAACCTGCAACTGTCTAGATGCAAACAATTTAGGTATGGTAGATAAGTAATTCTAGGCATCAGGGAATGCACATGTAAATTCCTGAATGTAGTGCTGCACTGCTGCAAGTATAACAGACACAGGTCCCAGAAGCAAGAGAACAGTTATAGCTATAACAAGCTAAAAAGAAAGATAAAACTCACTTCATCAGAAATATTTGCATCGGCACCAGCTTTTAACAAACACTTGATGCAGTCAGTTAAGCCTTTCCCAGCAGCTATGACCAACGCAGTAGCAGGATTGCCAGCGTTGTATTGGAGAAAAGCAAAATAACATGTCACGGTACTGAACAAAATAGGATTTAAAGGTATAATATGCCATTGGCATGAGCGGTTAAATAAGACTCCTTGAGTTGGCCAGTAAATTAAGGAAAAATAGCATTCTAGCCACCACGGCTGGGCTAAGTATATAAAGCTTCTGATGCTGTTTATTGAGTGGGAAAATACATCAAGGGAAGAATCTACCAAGACGAGCAATTTTAGCCCGAAATAAGGGTAAAATACTAAACTCCACCCCATATAGTATCGATGAAAAGATTAAACAACAGTAGGGAAGCATGAAGTTATTACGCCTGCTTTATGCTGCAACAATAGCTTCAACATTGTAGCATGTCCATTTTCAGCAGCAATATGTATTGGCGCCCCACCATTTTCACACATAAGGTCAACCTTAGCTTCCCTAGACAATAACAGCTCTGCTATTTCATAAAAACCTGGATGAAATTCATGGAAATGAATCAATGATTATACCACAGAAACATATAATATTCAAAAAAATGAACTTTGCAACTAAAAGGCAATCATCACCGTGAGCAATAATTTCTCTTCCTCACGCGATCCACGGGGCTGGGGCGCGCGGCAAGCCGCACCTGGCGGCGCCTTCCCCGCCGTCGGCCATCGCGGTGCCTCCTCTCCCCGCTGCGCCCGCCGACCCCTCTCCACTTCTCCCTCGCGCGGGATCTAGGGACATGGCCTCCACTGCCGACGCCCCCCACTCCAGATGCGCGCCCGCGACGGAGTCGGCGGGTTCCGAGGCTGCCGGTGCCGATGATGGCGCGGCCGCGACGCCTCGATGTGCACCCGCGCCACCACCGCCCACGACGGAGCAGACCAGAGAGAGTGTGTGGTCCCTGTGCTGGCGGATCCGTCGCCGCCAGTGTGGGGGCCGGATCTGGCCCCTCCACGACGCTGCCAGTGCCGGGAGGTGGTGCCACGGGCCCCTACACGCCGCTGCCTGTGCTGGGAGGTGGTGCCGTGGGATCCGGGAGGGAGGGAGGCGGCGGGGAAGGAGAGGGAGGGAGGGAGGGAAGGAGGTGGCGGGGCCGGATCCGGAGGGGAGGGGTGGCGCGGTGGCCGGATCCGGGGAGAGAGAGGGGGTGGTAGGGAAGGAGAGGGAGGGGCTGGCCACCGAGGAAGAGAGGGAGGGGCCAGCGCCGGTGAAGAGAGGGATGGGTGGCGCGGGCGCGGGAGCGGGTGGCGCGGGCGTGGGCGACGGCGGCGGCGCTGGTGCGGTCAGCTGCCTGCGTGCGTGTGTGCGTGTGTGCGGTGTGTGTGGGCCGGCTGGGCCGGTGGGGTTAAATCCCCCCTTTGCCGAGTGCTCCTGATCTGACACTCGGCAAAATATTTTTTTAATTCTCTAGCGAGTGCCACCTAGCCTGACACTCGGCAAAGAATTTTTTTTTAAAAAAAAATTCTTTGCCGAGTGCCCCCGATCTGGCACTCGACAAAGTATTTTTTTTAATTTTTTAAATTCTTTGGCGAGTGCCACCCAGCCTAGCGCTCGACAAAGAGGTTTTTTTTTAAAAAAATTAAAATTCTTTGCCGAGTGCCAGCCGTCCTGGCACTCGGCAAAGAGGCTCCTTTGCCGAGCGCCAAACGCAGACACTCGGCGAACCGTTTTTAATTTTTTTTCTTCATGCCCCCAAACTTTTTCTGTAGTCCTCATATAATACCTGGTACTCCATGTTCCAATGTGACACATTTCTCAGACTTTTTCTATATTTCTTTAATTTATTTCATTTAATTGAATTTTCTTGGATAATTCAAATTATAACCGCTAGTCATTCGAATAATGAAAAAAATAAATAGGAAAATAATATTCATGTTATTTAGTATAATGTGAGGCCGTATCCAGGAACAGACCACCAATTTCGAATATCTTGTTCACGAAACATGACCACGAACTTGCGGTCGAGTTGATTTTTAATTCTATAAAAAGCAAACGAAGACCGAAAATCTTGAAACTTGTCGAAATGTCATGATATCATATGTGGAGGCTGTGATAAAAAATTGAGGAGGTTTCGCGCAAGTTTGTCACGTACGATGCTTACCACCTCGTCGGCCTCTTCACGAAATCATCAAACTTTTTCGGAGATCCTTCTGTTTGTAAGCATCATACGTGACAACTTCCGCGAAACCTTCTCAAATTTTTATCACAGCCTCCATATATGATATCATGACATCTTGACAAGTTTTATGATTTTCGGACTTTGTTTGCTTTTTATAAAATTTAAAAACAACTCGACCATAAGTTCGTGGTCATGTTTCGTGAACAAGATGTTCGAAATTGGTGGTCTGTTCCTGGATACGGCCTCACATTATATTAAATAACATGAATATCATTTTTCCATTCATTGTTTTCATTATTCGAATGACTAGCAGTTATAATTTGAATTATCCAAAAAATTCAATTAAATAAAATAAATTAAAGAAATATAGAAAAGTCCGAGAAATGTGCCACATTGGAACATGGAGTACCAGGTATTGTATGAGGACTGCAGAAAAAGTTTGGACGTCAAAAGGGAAAAAAATATGGTTTGCCGAGTGTCAAAAAATAACACTCGGCAAATCACCGCTTTGCCGAGTGTCAAGAGAAGACACTCGGCAAAGGGTTAACGGCGGCTGTCGGCCGTTAACGGCGGCGGCCCTTTGCCGAGTGTTCTAGTTTGCCGAGTGCCCGACACTCGACAAACCTGGTCTTTGCCGAGTGTTATTGTTTGTCGAGTCCTCACTCGGCAAACCACCTCTTTACCGAGTGCTAGTTGTTTGCCGAGTGCTTTCTCTCTGGCACTCACCAAATAGCCTCTTTGCCGAGCGCCCGATAAAAAGCACTCGGCAAAGTATGGGACACTCAACAAAGAAGCTGTCTCCGGTAGTGATCATCATCAACATGATATGGTAGGAGCAAACCTTCCCAACAACCAAACGATTGAAGATAACCATGATCAGCACCGGGTTCCTGTGGCAAGTCGTAGCTCGGTCACTATGGCCTCGTATCCTTCTTGTGCACCTGCTACTCGAGCCTCACACCTGACCATGCCATGCAACGCCTGCTGGTGGCAGAGGCCAACTTGCAAGTTGCTGATCCCAATCTTTTAGGATTTAGGATCCATCTAGGTGTAGATTAGAGGGTGTATTCGTTACTGGTTAAATCAATTAGACATAGAGCCTGCTTCGGTAGAGAGAGACAGTGAGAGAGAGAGAGATGTAGGAGATCTCTGACCATCGGGCTTGGAGGAGGATGATCTGTTCATGGCGATGTCGGTGATGTAGTGTGTTGGGGAAGGAGAAGCAGGGGAGTCCGACGGCGGCGTAGACGTCGGGTGGCGTAGAGGCGGCGGTGGACTTCCCGTCGCTTGCAGCACCCCTATCGATCGGTCTAGGGTTAGGAAGTTGGTGGGGCGTC